ACAAGATAAGGCACACAGCTCTTGGAGGAGCACCTGGAATGTACAAAGTGCTCAACAAACGTCAGCTATTATTATTTCCAAGTGGTAGGACAATGAGTGATTTTTTCCTCAAATTTTTTTTTTAAAAAGTTAATGCATTTATACTTTATGTTACATTATGGCAGAAACTAAAGTCATAAATACAAAACAAAGAGTAAAAAATTTTGCGATTTGAAAATGTTGAAAAGCTCTTTATTTTCCTAAATCCAGTGTCAACTAAGGTGAGGTTCAGTTTTTAGGTGGAAAATGTGTATATGAAGGGGAGGAAAATGGATTAAAAATGTATAGATAAAATTGTTCTACCCACTCTTTTTGCAAATACCCATCCTCCCTTCTTTCTTTTCAACAAATATGTGTCACTATGACCTGCCAGCACTAAACGAGAGAGAGAAGGAAGAAGGATGGGAGGAAGAAGATGAATAAATAATGGTTTGATGCAATTTCTCTGGTTGAACCTTCCCAAGTCTCGATGGAATCACATTTTAGTCTTACACCAAACCTTACCTCTCACTATCGTATTTTGGGCCAGCAATTTTAAGTGTATTGTTATAGAGTCAGATCTGACTTGCTCTTACCTTACACATTAGGCCATTAAAAAATTCCCAGCTCAGGACGAATGATTTAAAATGTTATGACTTTCTTCAGGGGATTGCAAAATAGAGTTCTGAGATCTCACTTTTACACCGACTTGCCACTTCAGTGAATTAACCTGCAAGTATTCATTGAATGGTTAATTACTCTGGGTCCAGATTTTAAAACTTTGGCCAGGGCAGGTCACTGCCCTTCCAAATGGCTTCATACTTTCTCTTTTCAAATGTGCGGGAACCCTGGGTGAAATCAGGCTGAAATAAATCTGTTGTCAAGGAGTTCGAGACCAGTGTAGGCCACATAGCAAGGCCCTAGTTCTACAAAAATATTAAAAAACTTGTCAGGTGTGGTGGCACTCACTTGTAGTGCTAGCTACCAGGGAGGCTAAGACTGGAGGATTGCTTCAGCCTGGGAGTTCGAGGCTACGGTGAACTGTGATTGCTCGGGTGAAACAGCAAGACCTTGTCTCAAAAACAAACAACAACAAAAAACCCCAAAGCCCCACAAAAACAAAACCACAGTCTGAGTCCCTGTGATCTGCTGGATCTTTCTGAGACACCCTGATTGGGAATTAGGGAGTGGGGTGTGGAGACAGAGCCCGTTGAATTAGCGCAGTCTGCGGTGCTTGAAAGTGAGCTCAGGCAGAACCAAATGCGCTAAGAGAATTCGGTGATTTTACAACGCACCTAGTGTTTCTGTCAGAAATTTGGTCTCTGGAAACCTGCTGTTTTCCTACTGGGAGGGCTTGGAAGGGGGAAGTTGAGCTGTTAGAATGTTGGGGTAAAAACCCATTGCATTGATTTCATAATGATTATATGTTTTAAGTAATTTTCTGTTTAGATAAACTTGGCTTTCTTTTTAGTAAAGAGTCTTTTTTAAGGCCATAGAAGATGGTTTAAAAAAGCAACTCCACTAATTATTTAGATTTGATTGAAGCCTTTGGAGAATGACTTCATTCACATAGGCTCTGCTAAACCACTTAATAGCTGTGTGACCTGAACAGTCATTAGCTGTTGAATACTTTCTTTGCACCAGGTCCTTGCTCCATGTTTCAGATTCGTTATCTCATAAATTACTCACAATGGTCCTTTGAATGGCCCCTCTTATTTTCTCCATGAGGAGCCGAGGCTTAGAGTTCTGTAGTAACTGCCCAAGGTTTTAGAAGTGGTGTAATGATGCTGGGTAGCTGGGCTCAGTGTCTTCAAGTATGAAACGGAAGTCATGATAGCTACCTCCTGGGTGCTGTCGGGAATACACGTACATGTATACATATTTATGCACAGTATGTGATATCTACACATGCACTGCACACATATGATATTTGTAAATATATTTAGATAAATATTATATTAAAAATTACACACACACCTATACGTGTGTGTCTGGTACATAAGAAACATTTGATAAATAGCTTTATGTCAACAGAGATCACCTTTCTACAGTGAGAAACTAGCTTCTGTAGAGGAATATATAGACATGACACAGGTGGGAAGTCAGTGAAGAAGCTTGCATTTGAGCCTTGCTCACACTCTCCTAAGGCAGAGTGTTAATTGCTTTCTACTATCTCCCTGCTCGAGTTCCCTGAAATTGTAAATCTCCCACTATTTAAATGAATTATACTGATAGGACTCTTTTGCTTCCACCTCGGATAATGGTGACAGAGCTTTTATCTTCTCATTGGAATGAGGCCTCTCCCTGGTAGGCTGTGAGCTTCTTAAAGGCAGGGTCGATCTGGTCAGTGAAGTCATGGCCAGCCGTGGTGCCTGATGTTGCACAGGTGCTCTGTTACTTGCTATCTCCTAGTAGGTCAGCAGAGCCCCTGATAAAAATATTGCTGGAAGAGATCATCAATCCCCTGAGTTCTGTTTACTGGGGGAGAAATATCCTTGGACTCTAGACGTCCTTCCACCCTGTTTCCCAACACTCCCAGGCCTTAGGTCAGCCTGGGGTAATCCGTTTCTGCTGGAAAAGTCATTAGGGATTATCTAGTAAAAATGGATAAATGATGATACCTTAAAAAGATGTTCCCTAGTAGATGGGAAAATACAGTATAAAAACGGAAGAAGTTAAGAGCCATTTAGCTTCAGAAGAGGAATAAATAGATCCACAGAGCAGAACAGAGTTCAAATCATGCCCTCTTCCCCAGTTTCTATGTTCACATCATAAATGTGGCATTTTGAATTAGTAAAGGAAGAAGAGACTTTTATTACATATATTTAGAGAAAAATAAAAGTATATTCCTCCTTGATATCCAAAAGGTAGATTTAATCCTCCTTTTAGTCTAGGTGCATTAAAAAAATCTAAAAATACAAAACAGTATTGTACTAAAAAAGGTATAGGAGAATAGTTTTATAATCTTGACATGAAACCACAAAAGATAAAAACAGCATTTTTGGTTGGGCAAGGTGACTCACGCCTGTGTTCCCAGCACTGTGGGAGGCTGAGGTGGGTGGATCATGAGGCCAGGAGTTCGAGACCAGCCTGACCAACATGGTGAAACCCTGTCTCTACTGAAAATACAAAAATTAGCAAGGCGTGGGGGCACATACCTGCAATCCCAGCTACTCAGGAGGCTGAGGCAGGAGAATTGCTTGAACCGGGGAGGCAGAGTTTGCAGTGAGCTAAGATAATATTACTGCACTCCAACCTGGGCATCAGAGCAAGACTCCATCTCAAAAAAAAAAAAAGATTGGCAAAAAATTTAAATTATGACACTATGTATATGTGAATACAGAGAAAAATATTCAATGACATTTTAGCAGTTGTTACCTCTCCTGAGGGTAATGCCAAGATGTCGTCCTATGTTACCTGGACTGTTAGAAAAACATTAAAGAGAAGAATGTTTAGAGAAAACACTGATGTATTTGTCATATCTATCTATCTGTCTGTCCATCTGTCCATCATCTATTATTTATCCATATCAGAAAAATGTAGGGTAGTATCTTTAAGCGTATGCGATTTTAACTTGTATTAACCCTATTTCTTTTATTAATGGAGGTTGTTTTTTTCAACTTTGGTGACTTGCTTCTTGAAAAGTGCCCTCTAAGCTGGTTGTGGTGGCTCATCCCTATAATCCCAGCACTTTGGGAGGCCAAGGCTGGTGCATCACCTGAGTTCCAGAGTTCGAGACCAGCCGGGCCACCATGGTAAAATCCCGTCTCTACTAAAAATGCGAAAATTAGCCAGGCATGATGGCGTAGGCCTGTAATCTCAGCTGCTCGGGAGACTGAGGCAGGAGAATTGCTGAATCTGGGAGGCGGAGGTTGCAGGGAGCTGAGACAATGCTGCTGCACTGCACTCCAGCCTGGCAACACAGCGACTCTGTCTCAGAAAAATGAAAGTACTCTGTCCCTACCTTCTTCTGAAAAAAATTATGAGAGACTGTCTTCAAAAAGTAAATTTTAAAGACATAAGATTTATTTTAGCTGAAATACAATGCTGACTAAAAGCTCATCTTCAGACTTCCTGACGTGTTTGATTTGTGTTACCACAATTACTTTTTCTTTTCTGTCCAATGGCAGATCACAAAACTCCTTTTTAATTTGGCTCTCTGCTGGTGTCTGCAGCTGGAAATTATTTCCACCGCCTGTTTAGGGCAAGGGAAAGCCAGAGATAAGAGGAATCTTAGAATTCATCCAGTCAAATCCTCCATCCTAAATTTGAACTCCCTCCACAAAAACCCCTCTTGACACATCCAAGTGCTCATCCCAGATGCCCCAGCCCATGTAAACGAGGCAAAGAGCAGAGACAGCAGAGGAACAGCAGCAAGGGAGCAGTGGCTGCTTCTGCACCTCAGAATCATGCTAAGTTTTCTGTGCCACTCTAACACGCAGAAAAAGACTCAGTTAAAGGTTGTTTTCTCAAAGGCTCACTTTCGGTTCTACCACACGCGCTGACTAATAAACTTACATGGCAGTGTGCAAACATTAATGGGAATGAATCATTCCTAAATCATCAGCTCACATTATCATATAAATGATCACTTTTATTTTCTCTCCCAATAGTGCTATAATCTCTAATAAAGCAGTTTATACATGTTTTAAGTGAGACTACGGTGTCCTAGAAAATGAGCATTTTATTGCTTTATTAATAAAAATGCAAAATTATTCAGGCAGCTTTGATCAGATGCCTAAGTCTCTGGATCAAGCCCAGTCAGCCCACCTTTCATCTGGAAGAAAAACAAGTCAGACTCAGCCCTGAACCCAGTGCTGCAGAAAGTATCCCAGGCTGGGTGTATTCAAATGCCCAGATAAGATTGCTGATAATAGAATCTGTTTTCAGCCTCTATTCTCTCCCCTTCCCAACACTAAAAATTTCTTTTATCAGAATTTGGGATTCTACTAGCAAAAGTAAGTGGAAAACAATGACCCTACCTTTGATGCATGCTGGTCATGATATGGATGATGAAAAGGAAGTCCTCTAGTCTAGTGAAAGGGATGGTTAATATAATCACTTGGACTTAAAGGAGGCTGATTGGCTCTGTAGGAACACAAAAGAAATGACTCTGAGCGGGGAAAACAGACCTTCCTAAATTTCATCATGCATCATGTGGGACAAGTATATTATGATGATGCTGTTTTCAACAAGTTCTGTCAAAGTCTGAAAACCACAAGCTTTGCTAGAGTTGCTCTTCGCTGGGAGAGATAATCTGCTTTCTGTTTGCAGAATTCCACGTGAAGGAAAGAAGGTCCTGTCCGGAGAGTTTTAATTTGACCCAAACTTTAATCAGATGACTTTTCTGTAGATCCTTCCCTTAGTCTGTCAAGAAGAGCTTTGCTGCTAAAGCCAAAAATATTGGCAGATAAATTCCTTCCTAGAAGAAAGAACATTCTAGACAGGTGCACACAAATACAATACTTAAACAATGGCTATGCATCAGAGGGTTTCTGTTTGTCTTTGAGGGTGGTGGAGGGAGGATATTGTCGTCTTTTGGCATAAAATAGCAGGTGGGATAATCAACGCACCTGTCTATCAAGAGAGTGAATTCAAATGGGTGCTGCTTACTTGATATTAATATAGTAGAAATTTGACTGTTCAGTCCAAAATCAAAACATAGGGATGTTTTTTTTTTTGAGACGGAGTTTTGCTCTTGTTACCCAGGCTGGAGTGCAATGGTGCGATCTCGGCTCACCGCAACGTCTGCCTCCTGGGTTCAGGCAATTCTCCCTCCTCAGCCTCCTGAGTAGCTGGGATTACAGGCACGCGCCACCATGCCCAGCTAATTTTTTGTATTTTTAGTAGAGACGGGGTTTCAACATGGTGACCAGGATGGTCTCGATCTGTTTACCTCATGATCCACCCGCCTCAGCCTCCCAAAGTGCTGGGATTACAGGCTTGAGCCACTGTGCCCGGCCCAAGGATGATTTTTCTTACAAACTTTTTCTTTTGGAGAGGGAGGGAGGGAGAGGGCAACTGAAGAGACTGGGCAGGATCTCTCCTGTAAAGTCAGAACAACTACTGTCTGTGGCAAAGTACCCAGCACTGTCTCCCACTAAGCTTCACTAATTTATCTTAGTCTATACATGTAAGAACCCTCTAATATGCCAGCCCTGGGCCAGATTCCCATTCTTGTTCAGGGTTTTTAAGGTGAGCGGTGAGCTGCTTTGGAGCCTGTGTGTTGGCTGGAATCTAAAAGCCATGCCCAGATGCCATGAGCCATCCCTTTCATCACCTTTTTTTACAGCAGACTGTTAGCTCTGCCCGCCAGGACAACCCCTTGGCTAGCTGCCTTTTGTCTTCTGTACATCTGCTTTGCCAGTACCCTTGGAGAAGTCAGACATATCAAAACGTGACAAAAATAACACCATTTCTGGTTAAATGAACTATGCCAACCCAGGTTTTCTTAACCATGGAAGAGTTTAGTGAGGAGCTTCACAGACTTCAGGCTGACGCTTCCACCTGCTACCGCATCACTTTCAGGCCACGAGAACAGATAGTTATAACACCACGGAGTGCAGTGAACAGCCTGCTACTGGAACCTTTAACTCTGGCCAGTTCCTTCTCTTCTGACCTTCATGTTTCTGAGTACATTTATGTGCATTAGCTCATTTGTTCTTCAAAACATCTCTGTGAAGAGAGTAAGGTAGATCTTACTCCCACTTTTAGAAATAAAAATTTCTGAGGCTCAGAAAAGTTAAGTAACTTGCCAGGATTACACAGCTAGGAGATTTTAGCTGGAAAAAGAAGTTTCTCTTCTGCTCCTAAATTCTGTCTTCTTGAGGACATCATGGTAAAAGATCCAATCAATGAGAAAGTTACTTTTGTAAATCACTCATGTTTGAAATAAATAGCTCAAAGTTCCTATTTACAATTACAGACTGTCACCTCCAACCACTGGATTAAAAGTTCTTGATAAATTCCCAGCCAAAAAGAGACTGAAACTTGCCACTATTAGGTTCCCTTTTTATATCTGTGTAACTTAATTTTGAATTAAATGAGAAAATAAGATTTAACCAATGATTAGCATAGTCTAACGTAATTGCTTACGTTACTTTGTGGAATGTAAATAACAAATGGATTATACTTTAAACAGCCAATTATTCTATAAGCATATTAGCAATTTTTATGGTAACTTTTTATTTCTAAAACATGCATTTTGACATGTATTAACAACTCTGAGGTAGCCATTTCATCCATCAAGTAAATAACGTAGACTTTAAGACTGTTCGCTTGAAGTCCTAAGACACAGATTATGTTAAACTCAAAGCACATTCTTTTTCCTTCCTCCCATAACCAAATGAACATGTAGAAAGTTCTTCCCGTTTTAAAGAGAACTAATATCACTGGATTCTTATTTTATGCCGTAAGTTTTGCATGTACTCTGTCTTTGCTTCTTCAGTTTTGCCATTGAGGAGCTGGGTCTCAGAAAAGTTAAATCATTTGCTCATAGTCATGCAGTTATTTAGCGGTAAAAATAATACTCAGTCCCAGGTCTTCTTTTCTGTATTGTGCTATTTCACAAGTGGCGTTATCATTTTTTTCTTGTAAACAGGCAAATAAACAAAATCATATGCAAAGTCTTCCTATTTATGGAAGGCCTAAGAAACACATGGACAATGGAAATAGAAAATAACCGTTCTTCAGAGAAAGTTAAATGTAAATTAACTTTTAGAGAAAATTGGTGATGGATGCAGGAATAGGTCATTCAAAAAAGTGGCCTATTGAATGATTTGCACCTGTGTTTGTAAAACCAGACAACCCATGTATCTTTTAATTACGTGACATGTCTTAAGGAAATATTAACATATTTGTTGTGCTCCTTATCTGAGTTTATATACACTTAGAACACTGTAGGAAAGGTGGCAGGACTGAAAATATAACCTCTAAAACTGGGGCAAACTTCTGACTTAAAATCACACTTTTGTGAGATCCAGCTGTGGAATTGCAGTGCACTTAGGCTAAGTAAATGGCGAAGTGAAGAGATTCTGATTTTAAAGAGTTCACAGTATTACCAACAAGGATGACATGAATATATATACATAGAGATTCTTCCCTCGGATTCAAGCCTGGTCATATTCTCTCCACTGCACGTCATGAGTATGTACTGCAAGCACTTTTTATTACTCCCATTTCTAAAAAGTGAGACTGGTGGATGCCCACCTGCCTGCGCCCCACTGTCCTCCCCTCTGCTGTAGTTTATACTGGTAATAATCATCCTGGGTGTCTTTTATTTCACGAATGCCTTTATTTCTTTTATTTCATATTATTGGTATCCTGTCAATCCTGTGGAGTAGGAATCATGGCAAAATTGCCATCAGTTCCGACTCTCACTAGATGGTATCTTTATTTTCTTGGATTTGTGCTCCTATATGTCTGGAAGTTGGTTAGTCGCAGCTCACAATTGCTAGTGTGCATATTTTAACCTTGGTATGCTAATATGAACACTGGTTGGGAGGACAGTTAGAATGACAACTTGGCAGCCTTGGTACGTTTTACTTGTGGTGATGTGACATCAACCCTACCCCGGTACCCAGCTCAGCCTGCTGGCTCCTCTACTCACTGAGTCTGTAACGACCCAACCCAAACCTGTGTCTCATCTCTCTCCTCGCTACCCTTCTTGTTAGATATTTTAATATTTCTGTAGCATTTATCACAGTTGAATTTATCTTGTTTATTTTCTTTTATTATTGCCTCTTCTAGCTAGAAGCATCACAAAGATACAGATTTTTTATTTTTAGTTATTTATTTGTTTATTTATTTTGAGATAAAGTCTCGCCCTGTTGCCCAGGCTTGAGTGCAGTGGTGCGATCTTGGCTCACTGCAACCTCCATCTCCTGGGTTCAAGTGATTCTCCTGCCTCAGCCTCCTGAGTAGCCGATTACGAGCATGCACCACCATGCCTGGCTAGTTTTTGTATTTTTAGTAGAGACGGCGTTTCAACATGTTGACCAGGCTGGTCTCGAACTCCTGACCTCAAGTGATCCACCTTGGCCTCCCAAAGTGCTGGGATTACAGGCATGAACCACCATGCCCAGCCCAGATTTAGTTTTTTTTAAATTGTGTACATGGTATTATCCAGAGCATAAGCGACAGGTGTGTGAATGAAATATAAAATCTAAATGGCCATGCCTTGAACTATACAGCCTTTCCGCCCTGATCAAAGCTGACTGGGCAACAGTTCGGCACTTGACCAAGGGCAGCCAATTCTTACATTGGACAGGGATGTGTGACACAGACTGGAATAGAAAAAGGAGGCCAACCAGGCAGATTCCCTCCCTTAGGAATTTGAAGCAAGAGCCATAGAGAGAATCAACATTACATGCTGGCTATGGAAGTAAACATGGGTAGAAAGCAGTTCTAAGATGTAATCCGAGTCCAACAGGGATAGAGACAAGTTGAATATGAAGAAAAACTTAATGAGTAAAGGTCCGCCTGGAAGGAATAAAGCTCACTTAGTTCTGTGGTGTGAGGAGGAGACGTCCTGTGAGGAGCCAGGTTGAAATGGTGGAGTCAAGTGTGAAAGGGCACAAGCCGCCCTGCCTGGGAGCTCAGTGCAGCCTGATCTCCAAACAGGCTCCTGCTTCCCTGTTTCCTCCAGGGGAACTGGCGCTACCCAGCGTCTCCTTGTCTGTGGCGGGAGGCGTGTTTCCTTGGTTTCTGTGTTCCTAGAGGACCTCTGTTCTTTTATTTTAAAGAAACCAATTCAACTGTCCTTCTTGGTGTCCAATTTAGAGTGCCACACCTTTGGCTCTATTCTTGGAAAAAATCATCTAACATTAGAACATAATTTATAATTCACAGAGTGCTTCCCACGGCAACCTCCGTCTGTCATGTTTCTTTATTTCCTCCAGGTGGGAAATCTCTCTCACACTTCTTAATCATGTTGATCTCTCCTTTCACAGGCATCACGGGTTTATTTGAGTAAATGCTTTACATTTTTGTTAAACACTAAGCATCTAGAAAGCAGTTTGTCCCTCAGTGCTTAGTGTCATGTCGCATACAACACTGTTGCTAAATAAAAGCCTTTTTGGTGGGGGGACTGGGTCTCACTCTGTTGTCCTAGCTGGAATTCAGTGGCACAATCATAGCCCACTGTAGCCTTGACTTCCTGGGCTCAAACAATCCTCCCACCTCAGCCTCCTAAGCTGCTGAGTTGGGGCATGCATCACAGGCCTGGCTAGTTTTTTTTTTTTTTTAATGTTTTGTAGAGACAAGGTCTTCCCATGTTACCCAGGTTGGTCTCGAGCTCCTGAGCTCAAGCAACCCTCCTGCCTTGGTTTCTCAAATTGCTGGGATTATAGGTATGAGCTACCACTGTACACAGCCAAATAAAATATTTGGTAAAATACTGAACTGGTTTTAAGACTGAGTGTGGAACAATTCCACAAACTATGGTTGCTCCTATTAATATTATACCACTGAATTAGACCTTAAGTCATAAACTTTGGGAGTTGTTACTTAGAAAACTTCTGGCCGAGTGTGGTGGCCCACACCTGTAATGCCAGCACTTTGGGATGCCAAGGCAGGCAGATCACCTGAGGTCAGGAGTTCAAGACTAGCTTGGTCAACATGGTGAAACATTGTGTCTACTACAAATACAAAAATTAGCTGGGCACGGTGGTGGGTTCCTGTA